AGAGGGGAGGGAATGAATGGAGGAGCTTGGTCGTTCCTAAGAATGCATCTGAGCACGGACGGACTTCTACCATCCACGAGAGTGGGGTGGCCGGTGGGCTACTCTTTTTCGTTTGCTTCTCCAACGTGGGCTAAGCAAATATCACAGGTCCTCTCTTTTATCAGTAATATCAGCCTTGGGCACTGGGCCCGTTTTAAAAAAAAAAAAAAAAAAAAAAAAAATCAAAGCTCCACCATTACTTCCTTCTTCCCCTGGAGGCATACGAAGATGAAAAGAGTGTAAATCTATATGAAACACTCCTGCGCTCCACCTGTCCATGCTCTGGGCAAGCTGCTCTGTGTGGCTGTGTTCTGGGGAAGCTGCTGTGGCTGTGTTCTGGGGAAGCTGCTGTGTGGTGCTGTGCGGTGCTCGGTGCTGCTCTGTGCTGCTCTGTGCGGCTCTGTGTGATTCTGTGTGATAGAGGATAGACAGCATCCGTGCGGAGGAATATATAAAAAGAGCTCAAAATTCTCAAAGATGGCCGTTAATTTTCAGTCCCCAGTGTCTGAAAGACAGGTTCCTGCACAGACTTCCGTGTCGTATTGCGAGTTTCTCCGAGTGGTTACTCCTCAGCAGCATAATAGAGCAACCCGAACAAATGAAGAGATCGGTTATAACTTATAATCCTACCTCCTTCATCACGCAAAACTCAAATTTGAGACAATGCAAGACTTGCTGCACTCGAGAAGAAGATGAAAAGAGAGACAAAGAGTGGAACAGAACGAGGAAAGGTTATCCCGGCAGAGTCTACGAAATCCAGACCGGCAGGATTGTCAAAGGGTTGGTTTTTCGGGCAGGTGGTGTTCATGGGCAAGGTGATAAGAGGAGGAGTTCGGCTGAAAAAGTACGAGCTTCATTGACAGTCAGGTCATAGCAGGGACCAATAGGAACCACACTGATGCTCCCCAGAATGGACAAGCAACCAGACCCATAAGGTTCTGTTTTTCTTTCTTTTAATTAAAAAAAAAAAAAGGACGAAGAAGGTTAGTAGTAGTAGTAGTAGTAGAAGAAGAAGAAGAAGAAGAAGAAGAAGAAGAAGAAACACACAAAATTGAACCAATGCCATGGGCCTCGCTGCACTACTCTCGACATGCACAAAAGACAAAAATCATGGCGGTGCATCTTTCCATATTCTAGCGGAAGATTCACTCTCGGTTTGCACATTTCGAGGGTAGTGCAGCGAGGCCCCATCTCCCCTCTCCTCTCTTCCAACTCCATGTTCTTTAGGAATCAATTACATAACAGTAATAAAATAACACAAGAAGAGCCCGTGCGGCTTCTTCACCCAGAAACACACAAAATTGAACCAATGGCATCTCCCCTCTCTTCTTTCTTTTAGTCGATCAGTGGATGACACAGTTATTCCGACCGACAGGGCCAGTTTTAATGGCTTTTTTAGAAAAATGACACACAATTCGAACCAAACCCACCCACCTAGCAACAGCAAGTAAACACGGTGATCGGAACTAAGGACCGTAAGCGGTGTGGATACGTTCTCGTGATCGACGTGCATTCAAGCCTAAACGGAAAGTATGTAGAGAAAAAATTACAAATCGGATTGGAAGAGGGCAAAGCGTAAAAGCGCGCGGTACTGAATAAGAACAAATAAAGCTTCTTAGGTTGTGCATGAAATCTAAAAGGCAGATGAGGGAAGTAAAATAACAAAGCAGGACTGCAACCGTGAGTGAAATCCCAAACCAAAGACAACGAAGTGACCGACATTCGCAATTTTGGAAGAAGCCGTGTTCATCAATCAATCAATCAATCAATCAATCAATCAATCAATAAATAAATAAATAAAAAAACAACGCGTTCGACCTGTGTGTGTGTGTGTGTGTGTGTGTGTGTGTGTGTGTGTGTGTGTGTGTGTGTGTGCATGTGCGGTGTGGGGGGGGGGGTTCGACCCCTCCCCACCAATCGATCAATCAATCAGCCAATCAATTGTTGTCCCGTTGGAAACAAATAGCAACAGGAAACAGCTATTCTCTCTGTGACTGTGGCTATCAATTACGAGCCTCAATTTTTTATTTTTTTTTTAAAGGAAAAAGGGAATAGACTATATGACTCTATGTACAGAAGATCTATACAATGCCTTGACCATTAGACAGCAAACAGAATCGATGACTGTGCCCTAGGACAGTCACAAACAGAAATATAGTGAAGGTGCTAGGAAATCAACGAAGGTGATAGAAAATCTTTTTTTTTTTTTTTTTTTTTTTTTTTGAACTTAAATTGTGAAGGTGCTAGGAAATCAACGAAGGTGAGAGAAAATAAAAAAACCAAATAAAAATTTGAAGTCGTTTGTATTGGTAGACACACTCCAAAGAATACAGATGAGAATGACAAAACGACCAGAGAAAGAGCATAGCACACTTCGAAGTGGGCAAATCGAGACACGACAGGAAGTTTTGGAATTGGGAGACCACCTCTCACGACGGTGCCCTTCCCTTAAAAAAAAAAAAAAAAAAAAAAAAAAACCTCTCACGACGGTGCCCTTCCCATAGATTTGAACTTTTGTTCCATTTGTTGACATAAGACTGCTTGCACGGTATCGAAATTATTCTGACTTAAAAAAAAAAAAAAAAAAAAATAAAAAAAAATCTCACTTCGATGTCAATTATGAAGTCAGTATAGAGACTTCATAAATTGATACGAAGTGACGCTTGTTCAAGCGTCGCATGCGCGTTTCCAAACAGACAAACAGAGGAACGCTTGATCTGAGACTCTCTCATGCACAAGGAGATGTCGAACAACGCCTGTGCACAAAAAAAGACAGGGAGCAATAGAAAACTGCCGCGTGTGCAAAGTCCAGAAAAAGAACAACACACTACCCGTGACGAAATAGAACAACCCTCTGTCGATTTCTATTCTGTACACAGAGCGAGAGAAAAAAAGAAAAAAGATTACCTAGATAGGAAACTAACGGAAATAGACCAGCAGGCAGGCAAATGGGGAGTGAAGGGCTCATCGAGACGTACAGGGGTTGAAAAGACTGGGGATGATAGTGTGGGGTGGGTGACAAGCGGCCGAGGGACTGTTTGGATCACCACCCCCCTGCCCCCTCCCCCCCACCCCCTTCCTGGGGATTACCCTGCTGCATGCCTGGGTGTTGCTATTAATCTTCCCCCGAACACAACGCACCCTCATTACGGCTGTACCGAACTGGAAATTTAGCTTGTATACATTGATTTTTTGGGTGCGTGTTATGTTATGTTCGGGGGAAGACGGTGGTAAGCTTCCCGACCTGCAAGACAATCCCTGAGGCTGGGTCATGGGTTGGGGATGGGCCGTTCTGTAGCAGCCCCCCCTTGCTTACGCGCCTCGTGCCACAAGGGAAAAGGCTCTCTCTCTCTCTCTCTCTCTCTCTCTCTCTCTCTCTCTCTCTCTCTCTCTCTCTCTCTCTCTCTGAAGTTGCACCGATACAACACTCGGAGGACGGAGAGCAAAATCCAAATTCCGAAATCCAAAATATGTAATAATAATAAAAACCCACGAACAAGGAAGGCATTCAAGGATATGGTACTTCAGGGGATGTAATGACGCAATTTTTTTATTTTTATTTTTATTTTGTTATTTTTTAATTTGGACCATTTCTCGATTTATGCGTGTCATCCTTGCGCAGGGGCCATGCTAATCTTCTCTGTATCGTTCCAATTTTAACGGATGTCCCGAAGGACTAATGACGCAATTTTCGAATTGCGAATTCCGAATTCCGAATTTTGTAATTCACATGCGAGAAAAAAGAGACCGGACGGAATGGAAGGGTACCTAAAAACGTTACCGGGGGCTAGGTCCCACGTGCAGGAATTAAGAGATACTGACCGTAGATTGCAAAGATCAACGGCCGAAATCTCCTAATTTGCGCAAGTGGGACCTTGCCCCGGGGGGCTTCATGAGAAACGAAGACGCAGAACATTTTCGGAAATGAACTTATCGGCACATCACGACCACAAGAGCATCAGCAGCAACGACAAAAATGCTTCAAGGGCAGAAGACGCTGTGGATTTTTCGGAGAAGGGACGATTTGTCGACGAAGACGCGACTACACAGAAGCATCTGAACGGTGGAAGTTCAACAACGCGACGATGACATGAGGATGAGAGGAGATTGCAGACACTCGGGTTCAGCTGGACGGGAAAGTATTTGGACCAAAGGGTATATATATTGTCACATTGTGAATCAGGAAAAGGGTATATATATATATATATATATATATATATCTATTGATGATAATGGCTGAAAGGATTACCTGAGCAGAGACGTAGAAGTGTGATCGCGACTGGTTTGGTCGCATGCCATGGACAGGACGTGTATTCTGTGAAAGTACAGCCTCGCACGTGTTGTCCAATATTGCAACTCTCTCTCTCTCTCTCTCTCTCTCTCTCTCTCTCTCTCTCTCTCTCTCTCTCTCTCTCTCTCTCCTTTCCCCCCCTCTGTGTGCCCACCGTTGGCAGGACCGGGTTCCAAGGTCCCAAGTTTAGCCAGCAATCTGGCCCAACTTCACACATGAACGGCATCAGGACCGGGTTCCAGATGCGCGGCAAAAATCTACGAGCGTGCATAAATCTGGGCCATGCACTAGAGGACAGCCCAGTTTGCATCCAATCGACAAAAAACACAGATTGGGCACAAATTTGGGCCCCGTACACCAGAGGACTGCCCAGATAAGCCAGAGGAGCCCAGATGCGCATCCAATCACCAAGAAAATTTAGATCGGCCGGTCGAGAAAATTTAGATCGGCCGGTCGGAAATTTTTGGTGACTGGCCGGTGATCTGGGTCATCATCCGCCGCACAGTCCAGATCGGCCATAAAAAGACGATTAGCGGTCTGTATAGTGTGCAGATGCAGAAACTGCACTGAAGAGGAGGAGGGGGGAGGGAAGGCATACGAACTGCTCAACAGTGGAGGGATTATCCATTACTCACCAGCCTGATAACTGAATGTGGTCTTCAGCACTTACCAGCTCTGTGATCAGTGTATCCATGAAGACCACGGTACAACTTGCTGTCCTCCGCCGCTCCTTTGGACAGGGCCTCTTGCGCTTGCTTTAGCACCCTCTCTCTTATGGCTCTAGAATCTCTATCAAACTCTGTCTCTGTTTCGAGGGTGGCTGTTGCCCGGTTATCGGAACGAGTCTGCACACGTCGCTCCGATTCATAGACAAAGGATGAACCGCCCTTCTTTGCCTCTGGTTCACCCTTCTTCTCGTTCTCTTGCTTGCCTGCAAGTTGAAAGGGAGGAACTTCTCTCCTTCTTGACCTCTCCAGATGTCCAGATGCCGTAAATGCCAGGCCCCTTCGCTGAGCCTTAGGCTTTGGGACTTCTATTGTGTCCTCCTCTTTCTCTTCCCCCTCCTCATCGTCATCCTCCTCCTGCTGCTGCTGCTGCTGCTGCTGCTTCCCCCACTGCTCCTGCTCCTGCTCCCCTTCCTTGCCATCTACTGATTCCTTGTCACCGGTCGTGCCTTGGTGTCGTCGTCGGATGTCCTTGTTCGCCGAACTCTTGCGAAAGACAGCACAATCTGATCGAGGAGAAGGCAACCAGACCAGACAAGAAAACGAACACCACCACAGCATGTTAATATCGGTTAGTTCAATCGCTTCCAATCCAACTTGCAAGGGCAAAAGCCAGCAAACAGACTGAGTGCATTAATTAACAGAGGCCCAAAGTCGAAGAGTGGGTCTGTCTCTGGTCAAATAGGGGAGGCAAATGCATTGAAGGCAATAGATCGAAGAAACAAACAAAAACGGTCATAATAGCCTGGTTATTTCAAATCAGATCCACATACTCAAGGGGGGGGGTCATACACAAAGGCCCACTTCGGCACACCGGGGGGCAGCTACCTCTGGAGAACAGCGAAAAGGAAACGAAGCGGGCATTTTTTTCGTAGAAGGCTTTTGTCACACACTTTCAACCCCTCCACCCTTTCACAGCGAGTTTCTATTTCTGTTTGCCCATGTTTCTGTAGGGTCAGGTCCCGCTTGTGCCGTGTTTGTGCCATGCTCGCATCAACCTGGCCAGCCCCATCCACAAGTTCATACATACTTACTTAGCACGCATCATACATACTTACTTAGCACGCAGGCATTCCAGCAACCCGGGACCTTACCCTTAGTCCTTTCTGCAGAACAGCTAGCGGTCCACACTGGACTCCGAAAATTTGACAGAAAGCCCCCCAGCACTAGTCGACATTCTACACGTACCTGGACTGTTTCACGGATCCGATACGATTGGACTGGTTAAACATTTTTCAATGTATTGGAACCATTAACAGATCCAGAAAGGCGTGCAGTCGACCGAGGCCCAAAGACTCGATGTGACCCACGTGAGCACTCTGTAACGTGCCTGTTCATCCATCCAAACAAGCCATGTGGCATCGTCTTCTTCCCCATGGAGACACTGAGACAGACATGCCATCAGTATTCACACTCCCTTCTACTCCTCAGTGATTCAAATGACGGCCTGACACTATATATGGTGATCTTGTTGGAAAAGGGCGGCCCAAGTCGTGTGTGGTTTCCACTGTAATCCCCTACCAACGTAGCTACCCAATTAGGCCATATTGGACCAGATCTCTTGGACCAGTAATGGCCTCCCTCAGTTCTCTTAATAAACTACTACAGTTCTCTTGGACCAGGAATGGCCATTAGCTGATCCAGTTCTCTTGGACCAGGAATGGCCATTAGCTGGTCCAGTTCTCTTCGACCAGGAATGGCCTCTCTCAGTTCT